TTTTCCTGAATTTTATACTAATTGAACTTGAAAAAGAAATTTAATTTGATTTTTTAAATAAACGATTTCACCGATTTACACGCGTTTTCCCTTGACCAAATTTTGACCGTATCACCCTTTAGTTGATCGAGATGATATCAATTAGCCATGAATCCCTCCAATAAGTTCTCGGTACATCTTTTATCTACCGATTGAACAAATAAAAAAAATACTAAGGCTGTGTTCCATTTGGAAAATTTTCACTTAGATTTGACACTTCGAAAATAAATTAAGATGTTCGAAAATCCCTCTGTTGTAGATCGGCCGATTTTCGAGAAAGCGTCTGTCAAATTGATTCCTTGTCTGTCAGAAATAAGTCTGCTGGAATAGCAGTTTTATTTGAAAATTTTCCATCTGTCAAATTTAAGTAAAAATTCACCAAATGGAACACAGCCTTAATAACATGAGCACAGGATCGTTTCTTGTTGTGTTTGTCGTATTAGATGCTAGATAAAAACTTCTTTTATCGATATGTGTGCTGAAAATACCTGGGCCGAGTGGATTCAAGGAGAAAGTCGACGAAGAGAATCTTGTCAGTGTTACTTAGGACCTAATGCAATGTTCAGCTTGGATTGTTTCGCTGAGCTGTAAACAGAGAATCGATGAAAAGAATCGAACATTACAAGTAGGCCTTTTTGATCGCTTACTGTCGAATTTCAGAACCAAGCACTGAAAATAAACTCGACGGTACCTCTATTTATGCTAAGAGATAAGCATTGCAAGTCCCTGCTACTTGAAGAATTATGCAATCAAACGGCTGGCTATGCCTCGCCCCCATCAGGAAAAAAAAACTGGGGTTGTATAAACCTAAATCCTAAGCTAATCTAAAAACATAAATAGAGGTACCGTCTAATAATTTCAGTGCTTGGAACAGAAAACTGCAATCTGTGTAGGAAAATCCTTCTTATCACCACAGAAACACCCCGTTCCCGTTTTCTTATGCAAAATAATGAATGTGCGTTCACAAAACGCACGAAATCTTAAAAAAAGACCATATTAAGATTTTTTTAAATTCAATCAATAGAATTAAATGGAGGGATTTCAAGCTAAAATGTTCTGATCGCGAAATATTGACTATCAATACCGAAATTTCGCATAAATGTCCAAACCTTTTTGTGTGGTGTGTGCTGCTGTCTTTCAGTGCTGCCCAATGATTAAGGAACTTTCATAAATAACGTAGTAATTGAGGGAGGAGAGGAGCTTCAGAAGTTGGGACCGGCCATGTATTAGGTGTATTGCAAAACACCCTCGGAGCGTGTAGGGGGGTTAATTGGTCAAAAATATACGTAATTTATGGATGGCCCTGATTTTACTTCCAAGACTGTGTCGCAATGGGTGAGTTGAATTTAACTCGTGGTTAAAAGTGACAGATGAGTTATCGAATAACCCTGCTATACTAAAGCCCTCTAGTTAAAGTATGGACGACTGTCACCACAAAACTGGAAAAAGCTGTTCCAATCGAGCAAAGCGGTGAATTTTAACGGTTCGATTGGAAGAACTTTTGACAAACGTCCATACTTTTACTGTAGGGCTTTATGCTATACGAGCGTGGTTATTTCGGACCGACTAGAAGTTAAATTTTGGTAACCGTTAGCTGAGTTCTGTTTGAAAACTGATCAATTTCCGGCATTTTCGAACATTGAAAATAACTTACGAAATGTCACGTTTAACCACAAATTAAATTTAACTCGGCAATTGGTACACAGCCCAACAAGTATTTCTCGATTACTTTTTCGAATGAACGTATTAGCTTTTGTAAACAACGCATTTGATCGTCGATTTGGCGTAACTGGTAGCTCGCCCACGCATGCTAGTACTATCATCAGATAGGGGAAAATTTTCCCAACCTGTTAGCGGTGTTAGTATATGGGGCGAGCTATTAGTTATGCCAAACCGACGATAAAATGCGTTGTTTACAAAAGCTGATATGTCCTTCCGAAAAGTAATCGAGATTTGTAGTTATCATTCAGGCAAGGAGCGCTTGCGCCATCGAGGCGACGCCGCTACCAGCAGCCGATGATCTCGACGGGAACGACGCGCAAAGTTCGAGGTGCAAAATTCGAACTCTGCGCGCTTGACAGGAACCGCCTTCCTACTGCTGCTGCTACCTGCTTACCCGCCGTCCGAAGCGAAAATGAGTTGAGGCACATTAGCAGCGCTGTTTTATAACTTTTCTGATTCAAGCAGCACGATGTGCAACCAAATTGTACTTGATTATGAGGACTGGGTTTGGGGAGAACGTTTATTTCATGAAAACAGTGATAAAATTATTACTCTTTAGTTGTCCGTTTTTAAAACAGTTTTTTTATTAAAAATTTGAAAAAAAAATTTCTTGCAACAGCAACCTTTCGTATTTCCTATCGATTGGTGTATTCGGATTTTAATTTCATCTATAAATGACAAAGCTTATTGCGTTCAAAAAATTACACCTTTTCGTGACGGTCGCAATTTTAGATTTTCGATTTACCCCCAGTACGTTCCCGTAAGACGTAGTCTACGTCAAAAAAAAACATCAAATTGATGCATATTGTGGTAGATAGAGATGGTATGGAATAATAATGATTTAAAAAATGTGTGCTTTAGTCCTACTAATTACTCCAGACGTCATTGAAGATGTTAGCGATACAGTGAGACTAGTGGTGCCAGGGAGAAATGTCGCTACGATTTTCAGTAGTACACGCAAAATTAGCCTGTTGTTATCTTTAAGAGGCTTTACACTTTTGTACATTCATCAAGTTGATGCTCAGGCAAGATTGACCGTCATTGAAAACAGCAAAGTTTAAAAAAGTTGATGGAATATTCGAATAGTTTCTCAATTTTCGTGTTACTTTCCAGTGATCTAATTCAAATGTTCCTGACGGTTCCGGTGGCCACAATCATGCGACACATATAAACACATAAAATTGATGCATGTGAAACGATTTTGCCAATATTTTGGTTATTGGTGGTTTGTAACCTAACCCGGATGTCATGCGACACATCTACTCACATAAAATTGATGCATATATGGGAATTTTGTAGGTTTGCCTTTACATAACTCTTATTTTTTACTGATTCTACGGAGAATGTACTGAATAAAACAATAATCTAAAAATGTATTGACAAAAGAAGTCTTAAACATTAATACATATCAGGATTGTTCATCTATAATCATCGATACCGTCTGCAATAGTAATTTCCCATTGCAGCGTTATCGCAGACATAATCTACGGTTATCGATTAACAGCATCTACATTGAGTTGGGGCGACGAAAGCTACCTAAACTTAGTCTTAATAAATTAATGCATTATAAAAAAAAGTCTGTGCTCGGTCCTAATAGTTAGATTTAATTCTATGTACTTATTGAATCGTCTTGTTTTCAGCACCATACTCAGCAGGGTGACATTTGCCACTAAAAATTTCCAGAGGGGTAGAAAACTTGCTTCAATGTTCCTTGAATTTTCCCTTCTCTTTACTTCTTGAAAATTTAGTCAACCTCTACAAAGCTCCTTTAAGTTTTTCCAAATTCCAGAATGTTTTCCAAGTTATCTCAATTTGAGCAAGATCTCAGAACATTCATGACCATCTCCAAATTTCAGGAAAGACTATTAGACATCTGAACGAATGAAAATACCATATCAAAAACTGATGTTAAAAATTCTCTGAACTTATACGAAGCTACTTGAATTTAAAAAATCCCAACACTTCTATGTAGTTTAACGAAGCTCTGTAAATTGTTTGCTTGAATTGTTTACCTATTTAAAAAAAAATACTCAGAATTCCTTTTAAGTTCACTGCAATTCTACAAAGTTCCCTGAACTTTTTAGAATTTCGTTGAGTTTCTGATCGATTTCAAGTTCATTGAACTTTAACAAAATATCATGAAGCTTAAAGGAATTTTACGAAGTTTCTTAAAATTATACAAAGTTTTACAAGGTTCTCAATTCTACAAAGTTTTCCCAAATATTTACAAAGCTCCCTGAATTTCTTCAGAATTCTCTGAAGCTCTACAAAGTTCTGCGGATATATATTAAATCTTCTGAATTTCTACGATGCATTATGACCAAGATCATTGAAGTTTTAAAAAGTCAAAAGTTAAAGAAAAATCCCTGAGCCTCATCGATGTCCCCTTTCTACAAACATTGCTTAATTGCTCTAAAAGCCGCAAATTTACAAAAAAAATTGATGAAGTTCTACAAAGTTCTCTGAGCTTCTAAAACTTGCAGAAGTTAGTTCTACACGTAAACTAAAAATATATTACATTGAATGTTAGTTGCATTTCCTATCATCCTCCGCAGCGAACGATTTTTTTTTTTTATCTTTTTTTTATTTCGCTACGCTTTTGGCTATACAAGTAAGCATTATATTTATAACACTGTAGAACGACGCACACACTTGCCACGATTCTCTCCAATTCCCGCTCAGCAGAAAAAGCATGCGAAATCGAGTATGAGAAGAAATTAGCGCTTCTTTTTATCATTTAGCCTATCCATATTCCGAAGCATGGAGAGAGCAGTGGAGAAAGCACAGGTTTGATAATCGCAACGTTCGTGGTTCGAGTCCAGTCGATATTTTTCTCACCACTAGAAGCAAGGCTTGATGAGAAATCTATGATACCACTCGTGGAGCAACATCTGACGGATTTTTAATGATGGAAACTACTGCTCAACTAAGCGAATCATTCATTCAAAAGGAGAATGTCTAAGCAGTGCCTATTATTAGTATATATATAACTCTAGGGAACACAACGTTATCTGAATTGCCAGACAAATGGATTTAACAATTTAGTCTGAAACCAAGCAGTTAGGGTAGAGAACTAATTTCCATTCTACTAAGTACAACCTGCACTTTTTAGGGAGGTAGGCAATTTTGTTTTAAATATGAAGCTGTTGTTTTCCTATTCAATAATTATCTCAAATCGTACATTGCATGCAAATGGTAAGCAGTTGATCAACCTCCATTATTTTTCATATTTTTTTCAGATATCGACACAGCTTAACCGAAAACTATCGAGATATGTCACCACAATGCGATCGGTACATTCCACCGCCAGCCCATTTCCTCAACACCACAAATCCCCTTGCAGCAGCAGAAAGCTATGGTTATCTAAATTCCAACGTGCACACCCCTGTCAAACGATACGTTCCAACTCCTCCGCCTCATGAACCGACCTATCAACCCCAAACTCAACTGATGACAGCACTTCTCACCCAAACAGCAGTAAATGCATCGCAACATAGGAACAATCATCTCACCAGTACCTTGCCGTACCGTTTCCGTGTGAAATCATGCCCCAACGAGCAAACCATTTCGCCTCCCCAGGGCTTCGACACATCCGATCACTACGCCACACCACCACGTGTTCGTCCCCTAAAATGTCCGTCTTCCTTAACTGCCAGCTGCTCGGCGTCTGGTTCCACCCTGTCCTCCCAAACCATAAACTCTGGACGTCATTCCCGCCAGAGCACGGAATATCTGATAGCACGCACTCCCAGCGCCGACTTTCTCGATCAACCATCATGTCGGGTTTCGACTCCAGTTAGCGTGATGAGTGAACCAAACGGTAGTGCGTCCTGTCTGCATTGCAACACTCTACGTAGAGCAACCGGTGTTCATCAAACTACACAAACCAGTGGTCCCATAAGCCCGCAACCACTGTCCATTTCGTCGACCACCGAATCAACCGGCCGTCAATCTCCGATGAGCCCTGCTTCCTTATCATCACCCATGACTACAGCTCAATCATCCAACAGTTTACATCTGTCGCAGCACAACCATCATCAACCCCAATCTCAACAACAGCAACACCACGTACAGCAGGTGCAAGCATCGTCCAACATCATGACCGCAACACAGTCACAGCCACAGATAGCACTGGAGAACTACAGTAATCTGGAGCCCAGAGATATATCAACCATTCCACGAAATCACGCTAAGCAGCAGCAGCCATCTCAACAACCATCGGCACACTCATCCGAACAGAGCATCATGACCAGTAGCAACAGCCGCTCCATACTGATTCAGTATCAGCAGCAGAACATTCTACAACAGCCACAACAACAACCACAGCAACAAATGCAACCACCGCCAGCAGTACAATCCGTACCACCGCAGCAAATGATCCCACAGCAATCACCTCAAGTACAGCAGCAGCTATCACAAGCACAATCATTACCGGCACCCGTTGCACCAGTGTCACTTCCCGGGCCATCCATGCAACCCCATTCACCTCCAGTAAACGATTCCCCCGCGTCCACTCTACAGCGTAATGCACAGCAACAGATCTTACGTCCTACAGGGCCAAACATGTCTCGCAAGCAACGCATCAAGGAATACATGAAACACGAAACGGCCAAGTTCTTTGGCGTAGATAATCTGAATGAAGAATACGAACGGCACAAATGGGACGATCGTCAGAAGCGATTTGCTATCCGACGTTTCGGTCAGTTGAAGGATGAATACGACTTTTCATATCGCAACAACAATGCCAACCAGAACGCTGTAGAAGACCACGCTCCGCCCGTGGACAGACCCGATGTTCTGCCAGCTCAAAGTCAGGATGAACGTGACACAGAGCAAAGCCGTCGACAACGTGCAAATCCACATTACACCTATGATAACGGGGCAGATAACTTCATGGTCAAAACCGAACGGAAACCGTCGGTACCTACGGTGATCTGGAGCGGCGTCTCATTTCTTATTCAAAGTATAACAAAGAAACGACTACGGAAGCAAAAACAATGGTCTCGTAGTTTTGCTCCGGCACACGTCGAGCTTACGAATGAAGACAACGAACACTGTGACGGTCTTCAGCCGATCCAAGACGAAGAAGCTTTCTTCGATACACCGATTCCAGCAGCCGGTCAGCAACCCAATCCAGGTCAAATCGTAGATAATTCACGGCAATTGTTCGTTTCGGAAGGTGACCGTGGATTGGGTGGTGCTACCGGTAGTGGCATCATCAACGGCTGGCGAACGCGATCTTCTGAGCTGCAACTGCAAGCTCGAGAAGGTCCCAACGGGGCACTCGGCCAACGAATCTCTTCGCACATCCTGGATGGTGTGCTCGATAACTCAATGCGACCAATAGGAAACAAAATTAAACTTCTCAGACCGGATCTACTGGATGATCGCTATGACTATAGGCCGTTTTTTACGTACTGGATAAACACGGTTCAAATTCTGGTGATGGTTGTTTCACTAATCTGCTACGGTTTCGGACCGATCGGATGGGGAATGGAGGACAAGTCGGCCCAGGTACTGGTTACTAGCTTGAATTTGCAGGAGGTAAGAGTATAAAGTAGTTCAAACGAAATAGAATATAAGGTTCACAGAAATTCTTTAAACCGTAGGTTCACCATAGAGAGGCTCGTAACATTTGGATCGGATTGGGAAACACGGATATTGTACATTTGGGGGCAAAGTACGGAGCTTGCATGAGACGTGATTCTCGGATATCAGACGTTATAGCGAAAACCAGGAAGCACGAAAGGGAAACGGCGTGCTGCATTCGAAACGATGACTCCGGATGTGTTCAAAGCTCTCAAGCGGACTGCTCAATGCGCGGACTGTGGCCAACAGTAAGAGATGGGTAAATGAGGCTAGGTTTACAGCTAACTGAAAAGCTTCTTTTTTTGAACTTTAGAAAACGATAGCCACTTGGAAGAAATGGTCTCCTGGAGACTCGGGCCCAGGCGGCCGCATATCCGGTAGCGTGTGCGGTCTTGATCCAAAGTACTGTGACGCTCCCGCGTCAATAGCTCCACACGAATGGCCAGATGACATCACCAAATGGCCCATCTGTCGGAAGAATAATCAAATGTCGCAACGATTTCGCTTCAAAGATCACACTGCCGAGCACATGGTATGCGAAGTGATCGGTCATCCGTGCTGTATCGGCATCTACGGTGAATGTCGGATCACTACCAGGGAGTACTGTGACTTCGTTTCCGGATATTTTCACGAGGAGGCATCGCTCTGTTCGCAGGTATGCCTTTGTTGGAATCTTGTTTTATCGCTTTTGGTGACTCACACGTTTTGCTCTCCGCAGGTTTCCTGTCTGAATGACGTATGCGGCATGTTTCCGTTCATGGCCAGTGAATATCCAGATCAATTTTATCGTCTCTTCACGTCGCTTTGTCTACACGCAGGCATCATACATCTAGCAATCACCGTTGCCTTTCAGCATTTGCTGATGTCGGATCTAGAGCGGCTCATTGGACCACTGCGGATGGCGATTCTCTACATCGGTTCCGGAATCGCAGGGAATCTGACCAGTGCAATATTTGTGCCGTACAAAGCTGAGGTACGGCTGCCATCTACCTACGTTAGATTTTCAATTATTCAGTACTGTATTTCTCTCACCAGGTTGGTCCACTACCATCGTTAGCTGGTGTCCTGTCGTCACTGATGATACAGCTAATACTGTGTCACTGGAAGAGCTTGAAGAAACCGCACGTAGCTATGATCAAATTACTAGTTATCGGATGTACATTGTTTGGGTTTGGGACACTGCCCTGGCAGGCGAACTTTACCGGCCTGATAGCCGGTATAATTTTTGGTATCGGACTGACGCTGGCCTTCGTGCCGTTCGTAAACGTTGCGAAACATACTAGGAAGAGCAAGGTAACATCGTCGATCATTGAATAGCTGAGCGGAAGAAGCAGTATTGCTTAAAACACGTTCAATATTTCAGGTTAACCTAATTTGGACATGTGTGGTGCTGCAACTGATCGTCTACGCCGTGATGTTCATCATCTTCTATGTATTTCCGTTATTGTTCTCCTCGTTGAACTTTATCGACGGAAATCAGCTGACGGGTCACGGTTCCGCACATGGCTACCATGACCACTACAATCTGTACGAAAGTCACCCGAACTTCAATCCAATAGGTGGAAGCGGCCATGGTCACAACCACGGTAGCGGTGGGGGCATTATTAACAATGGCAAACCCCACGTAACGACGTACAATGCGAACAACAACTACAAATCGCCAACGGGCCACAATGGCGGAATCTTGCACAATCATCACGAATACAGTGGAGGCGGTGGAGGAGGAGGCGGGATCAGCATGTCCGGCGGTATCAATAGGATTAGCAGTAGCAACAATAATAAAAATAATAATTTGATGAAAGGAACAATGTGTGAGAAGGGACAATGTGTCCAACGGCAGCCGCGTAGTGCTGACACGAATGCATGACGTCGATGTTTCCTGCTGTTTACGTCATTGGAGTTACTTTTCGTCTTGTTTGTCCTACTGGCCCTGTACGATGTCGATGATTTCCAGGTCATTTATCAGTTCATCATGTGATACAACAACCGACAACGTAGTGACGACGTATGTTCAATTTTTATATCTATCATTCCGACAACAATGTGATCTTAAACCGTATCTTAGTTACAAATACTTAGTTTAAAAGTGGCGTGTAAAATTCGTATGTACACTTTAAATCGAAACAAAAATCAAAAAAAATCGAAGCGTTACATTATAAAACACCCGTATCACCCGGTTATGCTTTCGTTTCCTTAAATTTTAAGTCCGATCTTTTGCCCTAACTTTACACGATTTTCTAATAAAATAGTGAATATACATATACAACACACACAACAACAACAAAAACAAAAAAAAGAAGGAAAAGCATGCGATTGTGAAGAATGCGAGTAAACGAAAACAATTCTTAGAATTGCCCTCAGTTAGTTCGAATAGCTATCCTTCTATGATGATATTAATTGAAATATTGTATGAAATTCAAAAAAAAATTAAAGTAAATTTGATTTATAAACTAACACAAGGAAAAATAACAGAAAACGAGTCAAGGAAGAAGTGTATGCAAATTCTAATAAAACCTCTATTTCAATTTAAATGCACTTGATACTCTGTTTATGGAGCTGAAAAGAACGACTTTGCGCGATAGGAAACGAACCAGTGGATATGGCTCTAATATTGGCCCATTGATAAAATCTGCTAGTTTTTATCTATTGGAGAATAACAATGACTATTTCTGGTTGCTTATGAAAAGTTGACCTAATTGACATTTGAGACATTAACCCAATGTTCACAAGGATTGTTCAAATTACCTGCACACAAATCCAGACCATCGCTGTTCGGTATTTATGAACTACGGAACTGTTCGGTAAAAGTTTAAAAATTAGTAAAAATTATTCCAAACTACTCAACAAACATTTTGAAGTGATTAACAGCTAAATAAACCATTTTTTACCTGAAGAAGCATATTTTTGCTTGGGTAAGCTCTAATTCAGCTTTCCATGTTCAAATCAATTTTATGTATTGCTTGCGTGTAACCAAAAATACTACATTAACAATATAGTCCACTCCTCATTTTTCCATGCAATACACAGCAAACAAGAATGTAACACCATCTAGCGTCAAGAAAGTTCAGCAGCAACCGATTGCAGCCCAGGGGTGTGACTTGGTATCTTGGTATCTTCAGCAAAGTTGCTTATTATAATATTTATAATTATTGATTAAGACAAATAGTTCAAAACTGATCCGCATAGATGGTGCCAAAATCAAACTTTTAACTCTTACATTCTAGAGAATTGACATCTTCGACAAGGTTGTTTACCTCATAGGGTAGGTGTTCCAGTAATAATGGTGTACCTATTGCGGTTGCGGTCTGGGAATTGTACCGGAATAATGAGGGAAACCGTACAAGAGTATTTTTCATCGGTAGCTCTCCTCTCAGATTTCAATGAAACTTTCTGCATGTGTGGACCTTGACTAAATATGCTAATATTATGGAAAAATGACAACTCCTACAAAAATGTGTTGTAAGGATGACTTTTAGGAAATTGTCCAAGTTATCGAAAAAAAATACTGGAAAAAATTTCATTCGAGACCTACACTGAAAAAAATCAATTTTTAAAGTTTAAAGTCGATTTAAAAAAAATGGCCATGTTTGATTTGGATGAAACTTTGCCTCAAGATAGGTAATTATGTTTACTACCAACTGTCGATACATCGCGAGATGGGCACTTTTAAGGAAAAAAAGTTTTTCTAACAAAAACTTTTTCATGTCTGAACTGATTTTTTTTATTTGCCGTTTTCACACAAAACTAAACCAGTGAAGCTCAAAATCATCTCAGAATACAATGAAGTTCAATTTGCGATTCAATTTTGTCTAATCAGCTCATAAGTTCACTTTGATTAATCGAGAATTTCATATGAAAAGGGCTCATGATGCATTTCTCGCCAAATCGTATTTGGAATTGGCAGCACCCTCTCAGAGTTCAATAAAACTATTTGGACATGTAGACCTTCATCTCACTGCGTCCTAGCAAGAAGAACGGTCGACTTGTTTCGCGCTCCGTTAATTTGGAAGTTTTCTCGCTATTATCTGACGTAAATAATCAGTTTTTTCTCGCTTAGTGATTCCTGGCATAATTCCTGATAAATTTATCAAAAAGTGAGTTTTTTTCTGAGAAGAAAGTGTGTTTTCGGCATCATCGGAAGGAAAATTGTTTTTGCGATTGCCAATTCGCCAACCATTTTGCGCACCATCGGTGCGTGGTCACGCATACCTGTGCACACGGATCATCGTCATCGAGTGTCAGCATCTGCCTCCACATTCAAACCGCTCATCCATCTCGTGTGTTCAGCTGAGTGCCGAGCTTCATACAAGCACACACCAACGAAGACCGCCCGCACACGCGGATCGAAGATCATCAAAGCTGCGCGTCGCTCCGCTGCTGCTGTGTAAACGCTCGGTGGTAGTAGTATAGGATTATCAGATAAGTTTTTGTTCTTGTTTCTTTCTTTCTCCCATCAGTTAAATTTTAAGTTTGTGTTTCTGTGTTTGTATTTTTTTTTCTCGTGTATTGTGTCCGAGTAATTTTGATTATCGTTGCAGTGGTAGAGCGTTTTTCGCTCCCACTAGTACGGCAAAATGGACATTTTGTCGGAAGACGAAATGGACGTTTTGTCGGAAGATGACACCACTTTGCCACGCGATAGCAAGAAGGGTCGAAAACGTCTGTCATCCCAGAAATCAGATGATGTCATCCCTGGTTCGTCATCTCAGTCTGGTAATGGGCAGGGACAGATAAGCCCCCGATCGCGAGCCTACCCAGAAGACTCGACTGGCCCATGGGTTGTTTACTTTCAGCCCAAAAAGAAACCTTTGAATGTAATGCAAATTACTAATGATCTGACGAAGCGGTTCTCGGCCGTGACCGAAATCTCGAAGGTGAGGTACAATAAACTTCGCGTTGTCGTCTCTAACCTGAAACAAGCTAACGAGATTGCTGCCTCCCAGCTCTTTACACTCGAGTATAGAGTGTACATCCCAGCTCGTAATGTGGAGATCGAAGGTGTGGTCACCGAAGCGAGTCTGACCCCCGAGATCTTGGCGAAGCAAGCGGTTGGCCGTTTCAAAAACCCCTTGCTTCCCACGGTTGAGATACTGGAAGTCCAGAAGCTGAACTCAGTATCTTTCAGCGAGGGTAAAAAGAGCTTTACCCCCACAGACTCGTTTCGAGTGACCTTTTCTGGTTCAGCCCTTCCTCACTACATCGAGTTGGGAAAACTTCGGCTACCTGTGCGTTTGTTTGTTCCTCGGGTCATGAACTGCCAAAACTGCAAACAGTTGGGACATACGGCCTCTCACTGTGGCAGCAAGGCACGCTGTTCTAAATGCGGGGAGAAGCACGAGGATGGCGCCTGCACAGTCACTGCACCAAAATGCGTGTACTGTAAGGGAACTCCTCATGGTCTCTCATCGTGCCCGGCGTACAAACAACGCGGGGAGAAACTAGAACGCTCTCTTAAGGAGCGTTCCAGGCAGTCTTTTGCAGCAATGCTAAAAACAGCCACACCATCAACCAACGACAAAAATCCCTTTGCTGTTTTGTCTGATGACGAGTCTGACTCTGACTTGGCTGAGGAGGGAGTTTCTTTCAGTTTTCCGGAAGGTTCTGCACGGAAACGAAAACGCATCCGTTCGCGGAAAGTTGCAGATAAGGAACCCCAAATCAGCTTGCCCAAATCAAGGAGTGATGGAAAAAAGGAAGTTTCAACTCCTCCTGGTTTCCGCAGAACTGACTATAACCAGAACTTTCCATCTCTCCCGGGGACATCAAAAACCCCTGATGGCCCATTTTTAAGAACAGAAGCCCCTTTTTCATCCGGGTTGTTCTTATTTGATAAAATTGTGGACGATATTCTCAAGTACCTCAATATTTCTGATCCTCTCAAAAGCATTGTTCTGGCAATGCTTCCTACTGTGAAGACCCTCTTGAAGCAATTGACATTGAAGTGGCCCCTCATTGCAGCAATCATTTCCTTCGATGGATAATTTTCCAAACGAGGTCGGGGATTTGATCACTGTTCTACAGTGGAATTGTCGAAGTCTCATTCCTAAATTAGATTCTTTTAAGTTTTTAATTCACAATAATGATTGTGATGCATTTGCTGTTTGTGAAACTTGGCTCTCTTCAGATATCGATCTTCCTTTTTATGATTTTAACATTATTCGACTGGATCGTGAGGATTCGCGTGGAGGAGGGGTACTTTTGGGGATCAAAAAGTGCCATTCCTTCTATAGAGTGAATCTTCCACAATTTCCAGGTATTGAAGTTGTTGCATGTCAGGCTATTATTAAAGGTAAGAGCCTTTGTATTGCTTCTGTTTATATTCCTCCTAGAGCCGTTGTTAATCGCAAACAACTTTCAGATATCTGTTCGGTACTTCCTGCTCCACGGTTGATTATGGGAGATTTGAATTCCCACGGTACAGGCTGGGGGGAACTGCATGATGACAACCGTTCTACTTTGATATATGACCTCTGCGACAGCTTTAATATGACAATTCTTAACAATGGAGAAGTAACACGTTTGGCTGGCCCATCCTCGAATGGAAGTAGATTAGACCTCACACTTTGCTCTAACTCATTATCGTTGGATTGCACGTGGAATGTGATCCAAGATCCCCACGGTAGTGATCACTTGCCGATCAAAGTTTCAGTTGCCAGTGGGTTCAATCCGTCGGAACCCGTTAACGTCGCGTACGATCTTACCCGTAATATCGATTGGACAAAGTTCAAGAATGTGATAGAAGATGCCCTAACGTCGGTAGAAGGGCTTCCACCGTTGGAGGAATATAACTTCCTCTCCAATCTGATCTTGGACAGCGCGCTTCAAGCTCAAACTCGGCCGGTTCCAGGAACGTCTTTCCGTAGGAAACCTCCTTCCCCTTGGTGGGACCAGCAATGCACTGAGGTTTATCGTAAAAAGTCCGACGCGTTTAAGCTTTTCCGGAAACGTGGAACACCCGTACATTTCGAAGCGTACTCGGCTCTTGAACGCGAACTCAAGAGCCTCATCAAAGCCAAGAAACGCGGATACTGGCGGCAATTCGTGGACGGATTATCGCGCGAAACGTCGATGAATACGCTTTGGAATGCGGCGCGAAGGATGCGTAACCGGTCTTCAAACAACGAGAGCGAGGAGTACTCCGATAGTTGGATTCTCAAGTTCGCGCGAAAAGTATGTCCTGATTCTGTGCCGGCACAGATGATTCCTCGCGAAACGACGAATTCGGTAGACGAGATCAGCCAGCCTTTTTCAATGCTGGAGCTCTCACTCGCGCTCCTTTCGTGTGGCAATTCGGCTCCGGGGGCTGATAGAATCAAGTTCAACTTGTTGAAGAACCTCCCAGACGTCGCTAAGAGGCGCATGTTGAACTTGTTTGGTCAGTTCCTGGAGCTTAATATTGTTCCGGATGATTGGAGGCGGGTGAGAGTTATAGCCATTAAAAAGCCTGGAAAACCCGCGTCAGATCACAACTCGTATCGTCCCATTGCGATGCTATCGTGTATTCGAAA